CCATGCATTCGGCTTCATTGGGCATCGTTTGGAGGTGATTGAATGCATATCTGGCCTCTACAATGACTCGCGGTGGCCTACTGAATTGTCGAACCAGTGCTGCTATCCTTCCAGACAAGTCTGGTATCCATTTGCTAACTCCGGAGGGATGGAGGGCTTGGTGGGCCACGGGCTCGGGATCGATCTCACGTGTGTGTTGCAGGGGTCCTTCGACCACTGCGCCACACGCGCCCAGTACTAAGACGGAAAAAGTAAAGCTAACTTCCCTAATCTGATTCTCTTCTATTCATCCACAACCACTGTTTTTTGTAGTTCATCTTTTTTGCTGTTCAAGCTCATTATTTACTGCCTACTCCTTTTAATGGCTGACCATATTGGGAAATATAGCTTTCAATGATGCTGAGATATTTGCAAAACTCCGAACCGCAGGTGTCTGCGATTCGAAACGAACATGCTATTGTGCTTCCCGGGGAGCAACGCGTTCACCACCACACCATGTGGGTCCTCCGTTTCGCCTGTCTCTCAGCTAGTTCTATGGATCTTTGCCACTAGCATCATTGAAGTTATATTTCGCAATATACCCTGACATTAAAAAGGGTAGGCAGTAAATAATAAGCCAAAATTGTCATTATAACTACAGCCCCAGCTTAACTGGGTTCGTTGCCAGTTTGGGCTACCCAGATCAATCCCGCTGACGGGTGATTGCTGATGGAAGAGATCGATAGAACTAGCTGAGAGAGAGGGTAAACAAAGGACCCGCATGGTGTGGTGGTGAACGCGTTACTCCCTGGAAAGGATAATAACGCGTTCGTTCCCCACCACAGACACCTGTGGTCCGCACTTTTGCAAATATCCCAGTATGAAGTTTCTCGCTGTTTCTTTTTCATGGCTTTTTCTCAGCGGTCAAGGTTGTTCTGTTTCTAAATAAACTTTATTATAGATTATATCAAAAAATAATAAGTACGCATACCCTTTCGAGTTAAAAGCGCATCAGTCTTTTCTTTCCTGTGAAGGAACATCACAACGAAAAGTACGGAAAGTTGAACAAAAATACGTTTTCTCTTTTTAAATTTTTTTTTATTAGAGAAGTTGAACAATGAAGCAGCTAACAGATAATAAAGTTTCTTCTTTGGCAATTCGTAGCTGAGGCCAATTCAGTAAGAACAAAACTCTTTGATATTGGCAGCGCTTAACCACACCCAATTTTTCAGACTGCGTCTGGTATGCATTGAATTGGATGCATGTGTTCTGCCGAAGTTTCCCATCCCGTCATTCTCATTCAGAGAAAAAAATATCTTATAAGTACCTTCACCTTCAGCAATAGCCTCTCCCATGCTACTCTGGCTGTATAGTAATTAGATTAATCATAGTAGGAGACTGATGAGAAGAAGATTAAACTCGTCACAATAACTATATAGGCTTTAATGAGTAGAAGATTCCTTCACTCGACGACAAGTGTCTTGAACAGCAACTGTGGTATGAAAGGTAACGATTTTATAAGAGATCTTAAAATGAAATCGGCTGTAGAAAAAATCTGTGAAGAAGGAAGGAAAACAATTATAAAAAAAAAGACGCATTGAATTCAACAAAAGTTGTTTCGAATACGATAATAGTTGTGAAATTGAAAGCACTGAAACGAAATCAACACTGGAATCAGTGAAAATGAGGAAAACGAAAGATGAGAGCAGTTATGTGGCGCTAAAAAAAGTGCTATGCATTCGATTCCATTCGTAGCATCGCAGGAGTGATTGAAGGCCACACTTTTGACCAATCCTACGACATCCCAGAGTCTACGATCCATGAAGCAATCATCCTTATCCGTCCTTTCGTCCTATTCTACAAATGCAGTATCAATTTGCTGACAACGGGGGGATTGCTTGGTTTTGGTTGGACCGAGGTACAAGAACAATCCAGGGACTATTTGCTCCACAAATCGTCTCTAACTATTGCGCTATGGGTACCACTATGGCGAAAATATAATGTTGAAGTTAGTGTATAAACGTGAAAAAAGAAATAAAAGAACTAGACGCTATTATTGTCATTAGTCAGATGGTTGATGTCTCGATTTCGGCTGTGTACTGCCTTGGTTCGATCTCCTCCCACCGCCCTCCTCCAATCCACGGGGGAATGCCTTAACCCGGTTATCTCCGAGATTGCAAGAAGAATCGACACGACTAGCATTCCACGATGGCCATAAAGAAGACGAAATTCTCAAGAGGGATACGAAACAACACGCGAAATTTTCGAAGAGCTTTGTGGGCGGACGAATTTGATGAGAACGCCGCGAATGCAAGAATAGCTGGGATCCGCACGGCGGATGTGATGGCATTTCATGTAAGAGTGTAGAAACATGTAAAACTGCGAAAACAGTTCGGCTTTGTTGACGATCTTTTCCAAATCAGGTGGTGGCGGCCGGATTGTGACCGCCGCCGCCTTCACCGCCTCCATCGCACAGCACCACCACCCAAGACGACCCATACGAGACGATATCATCATTGGATAATTTATTGATATCTTATGAGATATCTGTCTAAACTGACATTTTCGTGCATAAAAAGCATCGTATGTTTCTAGCGTGGACATTGAATACGAATAACTGAATAACTTGAATAACTCTTAGTGATCTAGCTTTCTCAGATATGTTTCTTGCGGTTAATCTCATCTTACTCCACGATCTGTAGCAGAAAGTTATGTGATTCTCATCAGTTTATTTTTCCTTTTAAGATTACTTTTATTAGTGAGCACCATGAGAATAGCTACTGCTACCTTCGACACTGAATGTAAGTTTTACTGGAACATTTTGCTAGTAAATCGGTAACTGGCAACAACAACAACAGAACAACAACAACAACAACAACATCAAGAACAGCAACAACACTCTTATCTGAAACATTTTTTGCCACTCTGTAAATCGTTGTTTTTTTCTCGCAGACTTCATTCCTTTCTTCCTCATTGGTTCAAAAAATCGAATATTGGTTTTAGAAGATTTTCGGATGTGGTACAGGTGTATTTGTTTACTAGTTGTTATATTATCCTCATCGACATTTGGTCAGGAACACGAAGAAAATCAAGCACAAACACGATTCCAGGTTTGGTTTATCTTTTTCGCTCACTCATCCATTCATTCATTCATTCATTCGTTCATTCATTCATTCATTCATTTATTCATTCGTTCATTTATTCATTTATTTATCTAATCACTTATTTATTTATTTATTTATTTATTCATTCATTCATTCATTTATTCATTCATTCATTTGTTTGAGGATTAATTTCCATAGTGTTCACAATCACTAACACTTCTAGATACACAAATTTTGACCATTATAGTAAAATTTATTAGTCAGGATAAAAATTAATAGGATGAAGAATTTTCTGGCTTAGAAATCTGTCTGCACCTACACCTCTATGGATAAAAATTTGAATTCCTGTAAAGAACTACCGTATCACTTCTCTTATTCCCGTTTTTGTGTCTTTTTTTATTTAAGACAGCTTAAATGATCTGTGAAAAACGAGTGGATACGAATTAACACCGTAATTTAGTGAAAGTAAAAAGTGAAATAGTAAAATAATAATCCTCTAGGCAGATACTCGCATGAAATACCGTAATCTTCTGGAAAGTTCTTTTTTTGCTTTCAACTCGTTTGCAGAGGTGTGAAATAAATTTCCTGGTCTTCAAGTCGATTATTGAGAAAAATCTATTTTCCTGTAAAAAATTGAAAATTGTTCGATTAACTTTAAAGATTTTAGGAAGCGATAATTCTTCGATTATAGAATGGCAATCTCCCAGTCTTTTTGAAGAAAAAAAAACTGTTCCGATAGAATCGTTTGAATTGAGGGGCAACTGAGAATTGTATTCTTTTCAAAACACCTAAAGAAAATGGGCTGTGAAAAATTCGTCAACTTTTTCAATTTCTGTGACGTCATCGATCTTTGGGCGAGAGAAGTTTCATTTCTCTTTGGAGGATTTCTTGGAATTCATTTAGTTCATTCTCAACCTATTTCTAGTTGCATTTTCTCATCATGCAATCGTTAATTTGTTGTTTTTCCTTAACGACAGATGTCTAAATTTTAAATTCTCCAGGAACTCACCAGGCTTTTTTCCGCTAGAGAAACACTACAGAAATCGACACAAGAATTGAAACCCTTGCGATCACTTTTACCGCCTATTCTTTTTTCATGGCAGGGTATTATGTGAAATACAATCACAGTGATGCTGAGGTATTTGTAAAACTCCTGACAGCAGACGTCTTCGGTGGGGATCGAACACGCTATTACGCTTTCCGGGGGCTAATGCTTTCACCATTGCATCATGCGGTCCTTCGTTTCGGATCGGTCTCAGCTATTTCACTCTTGCACTTTTTGTGACAACAATATTAAACTTGTTGTTGTTGAAAAATTGTTTGATCGCAGTGGTGAATGTTAGACAGATTTTCATCACTTTATGTTTGTTCAGACGGCGGTTGCGAAGAAGGAAAATAGCAGCGAAATGCATTACATAAACTTTTGAATAATATTTTTATACCACATGTCAATGAAGGGACATAAGGTGCATTAATGAAACGGAATCGAGCAAACCAGATCAATAATTTTTTGTTAACCTTCCATTTAATGCCTACTAGGATTTTTCGCCCGGAAACGGTAATAGGGTGTTCGATCCCCACCGCAAACACCTCCGTTCCGGAGTTTTGCAAAAATCTCAGCACCATTTTGGTTATATTTCACATAATGCTTCAGGTTTTATCTCAACCATTTTCTGCCTCCCACTAGAAAGAAAGTAAAGAACGTGTTTGTTGATGACGTCATTTCTCTTCGTATACTTTAATGATCTGCAAAAAATCAATATTGTCCGTCGATGGATTTCAATGAGCACGTTTCTGCACTAAAGATATAACAATTTCGTTAATTAAAAAGATGAAAAAAAGGAGAAAATAGAGGAGAATGAAAGATGATGATTGTAGGTGGTTTCGATACGATGGCGTGCCAATGAGACACCGTATATGATCGCCACGTGGCTTCTAGTAGCGGCGATTGCAAAAATTTGTAAGCCTTTCTTAGATTTTTTTCTAGTTCACTTCATAAATTAAAGTCTAATAAGTACTTTCACCTACGATTTTATCGATTTTACTGTTATCAGTACTGTCATCCTTGTTATAATTCTCAGTAACATAGGAACCTCCCAACGGCTTACTGCCTCGTCGTGACTGGAAGGTGTTTCTAGATGTCGGGCTGCGACGTACGGCGGGGGATTCATCTTACCACCACAATCTTCCAAGCTGAGAAGGAGTTCGGTGTTTTTTCAAAAAGCCTAGCTAAGACTAAATAAATACCAGTATCAACTACCATCCTGGTATTAAATCAGTCGCATGATGGCAGATCTCCTTCTGATTCACAATGGCTGCGACTGCCTGTGGTGGTGACGACCTGAGGCAGACTTTGGCCGTGTTGACCTAGGAACTCCAGGGAACCACAATGGCTAAACTTGCAAATCTCTGAAAAATGGGGATTATGGTGGGGTCCCGCTCATCCAGTGAGGACGAGCCATTGAAGTATCAAGTAGGTAGTGGCGTATGAAAAGGCTTCACAAATTGTAACGCAATAGTTTTACGAGAATTTTTTTTGAAAAACTTTTAAATCTTCGATTGTAATAGCTCAGAAACATTTTTACTTTTTCACCAAGAGAAAGTCTGGTGTTTTTTGTTCAGGTAATTCATTATTTGTTCGGTAACTTGTTTATTATGTTTTTGGTAAGATGTGGAAAAAATGAAAAGAACTATTTTAAAAAATTTTCTTAGTCAGCAAGGAATTTCCTTTTTCATTTTCAGTATTTCATGTGTTCAAGCCGATCGCTAACATTTTGCCGGACTCGTCACTGTTGATCGCCGTCGGCTTAGTGATCGGGTTAATACTGAAGGAATCCGGAACTCATATTTCCTATTCATTGGATTCTCATGTGTTTTTCCTTTATCTTCTACCACCGATAATTTTTGACGCGGGTAATCTATTCGAACGTACAAATCTTTTCTAGCCGTACTGTTCGTTTCGCATAAATCTGTTTTCTTCTATGAGTTCAGGTTATTTTATGCCAAATCGAGCCCTTTTTGAGAATGTCGACTCCGTGGTTTTATTTGCTGTTGTCGGTACTATATGGAATTGTTTAGCTATAGGTAAGAATAGTTATTTAACCTTTATTTCACGCGATCCTACGTCACGTATTGCACTGATACTGGTACTTTTTCCTATTCGATTTGTTTTGTCGCCACTATCATTGACGAAAGTCTTCCTTCGGTTGCTTCACGAAGATTTTTGAGAACGCCCTCTTTTTTATTCTTTTTTCTTGGCCCTAGTTTTGTCCTTTGTCGAACACTTTACTGGAAATCCGTACTATTTGCTTTTGTTCGTAGTCAAATCGATTTCCATTTTTGTTCTGGGCGTTCGTTAACGTGAAATCCTAAGCCGGAAAGGTTAGTGACCTGAGCGCCGGTACTCAACGAGTTGTAAACCGTGACGGAATTAGTGGCGGACAGTTTAATCTAACAAGACTATGATTTCATTCACGTTGCGGGAGACATCGTGAAAATTTGACTTTTGAACATTTTTAGGATCTTCTCTACTGTTACTATCAAGTTACGGGGCTTTTTCAATGAGCTTCTCAACGACAGAGATTTTCGTTTTCTCTGCGCTAATCTCAGCTGTGGATCCGGTGAGTGTTACGCTTTTTCAATCCGATTGTCAGGCTTTGAGATTATCAGAGGTGTCAAGGTTGCTGTTATTGCCGTTTTCGAGGAGATCAATGTCAACGAATTCATCTTCGTGAATGTGTTCGGCGAAGCACTCTTCAATGATGGTGTAACTGTGGTACGTTAAAATTACTCACACCTTTTTTTTCGAAGGAGCCATATCGCTGTCCTGCTTAGCGGCGCAAGTCGGTTTCCGTCTGTGTGAGTTTTCTTCCTCTAGAGGTAGAAGATGCTCTGCATTACACCCACTACCCCTGTTTGTTTGATCCTGCTTCAGGCGAACCAAGATCTACAATCTTCTGAGATCTGCAGATTGGTGCCAGACTCATCTGCCCAGCTGTGACAGGGTGGCGGCTTGCTGAAAACCTTGGATCGGTTTACAACAACGTCCAGGATTCTAAAGCAGTAAATTGATCACATTCAACGAAATTGATAAGGATGGCAAATCCCGACAGTAACTGTCGAGCTCATATGCTTACCCGAAAGCCTACTTAGAAAAAGGATGTTAGAAAGCCATTCGAACGAAGGAATTAAAGGGATCTGAAGAATTCATAACATAGGGTCGTGTAAACAAGAACGAAAGGAATAATTTCATGCTGGCCGTTGCTGTGCTTGGCGATAGTCATTAGTCGATCATAGGCAGTGACATTCGGCTTTCGCTGATTGATAACATTTCAGAATATGAAGGATAAAAAGGAAATATGAATGTGTCGTTTTCTTGTTCAGCAATCGGGAGGTTTTTAAACAGCATACATTTACTTCCATAAAAGCACAATACAATACAACGCTAGCTGACGTTTCGGCAGTATCGCCTTCTTCAGAGCCGCTTTTTCGTGACTTCCAATGAGGAAGTTTAGAACAGCTGATTATAGTCGCATGTGGTTGACGAGTCAAAACCTCGCGATTGCTGAACAAGAAAACGACACATTCATGTTCCAATGCCGAGGTTAAGAGAAAGTCGATCCTGGGAACTATTACAAAAAGGAAATAGTTTAGTGTCAAGAGCGGTCAGTTGTGAGTTGCTGAGGATGCAGTCTGTGTCTTCACAGAAGGTATCCGTTATGGTCATGAAGTTATGCTTTTAAACACACTCGTCATAAGTCATTTTAACGCTTTTAGTTTGTTTTTTTTTCTTGAAAATGAGCATCAAGGATTTATTTGTTTGAGTACTTAGTACCGAACGAGCACATGATCGTCGACTTACATTATAATTTGAGACGAGGGACATTTTCAAGATCGACCAGTAGGAACACAAAAAAGTAGCAGAAAATTAAATGATTAAGGTGTCTAAAGATAGATAAAGGTAGAACAAAAAAAAAGTTAGAGCCCACTACTGAAATGGTATTCAGTTTGTATTTCACATAGTGCCTCCTACCTTAAAAAATTGTAGTAGGCAGCAATTAAAAAGTTAACATTGTGATTTCAACTGCAGCCTCAGCTTAACTAGGTTCAATGCCGATTTGGGCTCCTCAGATCAATCCCGTTGGCGGATAATTGCTGATGGCACTGATCTATGGAAAACTAGCTGAGAGACAGGCGAAACGAAGAACCTGCATGGTGTGGTGGTGAACGCGTTAACTCCGTTAACTCCCCGGAAAGGTGGTAATAGCGCGTTCGTCCTTCTCCTCAGCGCAGGCATCTGCGGTCCGGAGTTCTGCAAATATCTCAGCTTCATTACAGTGATATTCAGTTTGTCCACAAATTACTAAAGTGAAGCTAGCTGGCATCGAAACAGGTTTTCCTTCCTAACGTTCAAATAAAAGATCTGTTTCCTAACTGTCGTATAATTTATGGTGACCGCGAAAAAACCGGAAATGAAGGATAAAAGGATAGAACGTTCTACGTTGATCATCCGCTTAGAGGCAAGTCATGCATTCGAGTGCACTCACAGCGGTTATTGGAAGTATATTTGGCCCATACAATAACTTATTAAAGCCTACCAGTGTGTAAAGTCAGTGCTTTTTGTCTTCTTAGTATGTTTGGTAGCTGTTTTCTTACAACGGAGGGATGAAAGCTTGGTTAGCTCAGAGCGTGAAATTTGAACCAACAACCGTGTATGTATTGAGGGGTGCCTGGAAACAATTTCGCCAAACATGATATTAAATTCGTAAATAACGTGTTTATAACCTTTGTACTACATTTATTATTTTAAGGTACTGTATCAGATGTTCAAGAGTTTCACGCTGATCGGCGTCGAAAATTTGAAGCCGATCGACTACGGTGCTGGTGTTTTGTCGTTTTTCGTTGTTGCTTGTGGTGGAGCTGTCGTTGGACTAATTGCAGCGTTTATCGTCAGTCTCATCACAAAGTATGTGTACTACTTCTATTTCGTTGAGCTGGAAGTTTTTCCATTTCACTCAGCTATTTTTTCTTCCACTTATTTGTTAGTGATTTCAACATTCCTTAATTTTGATCGATAGAAAAATTACCTGTAAAGATCATGAAGCGGAGTGTGTACACGAAAATAGTGGAACTGTTTGGGACATAAATACGAAAGAAAAGATTTCCTTTCAATCTTATACCTGGATTTGGAACCTGAAAGTTGTGGAACTTTTGAAGAATCATCAGATTGAATGTTACGACTTGTGATGCCTTCTAGACCAGCTTTCTTGAGATCAAAGTGAGCTTAGGGAAATTTCACCACTGTTGCCATGCTCAGTTGTTTTATTAACAGCGTTTGTTAAACTGTGTATAATATTCTAACTTACTTCCATAATTTGACTACCCGTCCTCACTGGTTGTGCCGGCTCCAGCATATTTTCCATTTTTCGGAGTTTCGCTGGTTTAGCTATTGTGTTTCCCTGTTGTCGGTAGCTCAATCTGGCCAGTCTGCCCCAGGTCACCACCGCATGCAGTGGCCGCCCTTGTGGATCAGAGGAAGATTTGCCACCAAGTGACTTAGATACCAGGAAGGTGGTGGATCCTGGTGTTGATTTACTCTTAGCTAGGCTTCTTGATGGAAAAGCCGGACTCGTTTTCAGCATGGGAAACCTTGCCTCTAGGGTGAATCCCACCGCTGCACATCACAGCCCGACACCCCAGGAAGGCCTTCTTGCCACCATGTGGTAACAAATAAATCATTGGAAGGGTATAATATGGGAGAGTATATTATTTAGAAAACCATCTAAGTAAAAGAGGTTAAAACTATTAGAGAATAGAGAAGTAGACATAGAGGTAATAAAAATACTTGAGTCTGCTTTAAAACTTTCTTATGTCTCAAAAAGCTTTCAACATGAAAGCACACTTTTTCTTATTTTTGTGCTTGATATCTTATTTTTGTGTTTGATACAGTGGGTAGGCTGTACACATGCCATATGGACTATGAGAGACCTTGGAATACTGAGCAATGATGTTGTAGCTATTTAACCCTGACATTTCTAATCTTTCCGTTTTTTTCCGCACCAGGAACTTTCTTTGGTCCACAGAAATGGAGAATTCCAATATCGCGTTCTGAAGTACTGCTTGAGTAAGTTCTGTCATCAAGCTGGTATCGTAGCATATGTTCTGGATCTGTTCGAAACCGTGTTTTCTTAAACGATTGCCTTTCAACTAATATTGTATGAATTCTACTAGAAATAGGTCAGGTGCGAAATTGTAGCAAAAGACAGATTATCGATGCTGTGTTGTTGTGCTTTTTGTCCAAACCATAGCCCTGGCAGTTCTCTCCTGTCTGAGCATTTTGAATCACTGCATATAAAGTATGAAAATCACAGCCAATGTTGATGAGGGCTGGTAGTTGCCTTCTTAGGTGCGTCGTGTTTGACACTACCTACTTCTTCACAAATTGTGCACATTCTAGCACTTTCTTCACTCTGATAGTTGTCTTGCATATACCATCCACGAAGGCGTTTAAATTTTGGTGCCGTTTCCTCTGCTACTTGAGGGTTTTCTCCCATTATAGAGTTGCAATAGTGCTCACAGTACCTCACAAAGCTAGCTACCTGCTTTTATCAGCTAGGGAGGCCATTTTCTGGCAATTCTTCTACAATCTTTCTGAAACTAAAGGAGTAGAGGCTTGATTGGCAGGAGTAGAGATCGCGATAACTACTATTTTTACATTGTACGGCTTTTTTTGTGTATGCATGTGTGTGCTTCTGTATCGGGTGTTTTGTATATTTTGTCCTTTGGTTTATGCTAAGAGCATGTGTGACGCAGTGTTAGGAGACGCCCTGCAATACAGATGAGATCGATCCTCGCGCCCAAAGCTTCCTGCTTACCAAGCTATCCTTCCTTCCGGGATCGGCAAATTGGTGCCAGACTTGTCTGGGAGGATAGCAGCACTGGCTCGATACATCGGTAAGCACTGCTACTCATTGGAAAGGCCAGATATGCAATAACCTCCAACGGTCCTTAAGAAAGTCGAATGTATGGCGCATCCCTCAGGGATTGATCAACGCCGATAGCTTTATCTTAGCTTTAGGGCGCCCATAGCCAAGGCGCTACACAAACTGCTATATAAATGAATCAACTAAATGTCCACGGCTGCCGTTTCACAACTATTCATAGACGATAGCATGCTGGTCATAAGTATTAGTTTTAATAAAGCATACCGGTCTTTCCAGTATGATGTGGAAATGAATGGGTGTTACTGCTGAGATCGGAGTAGATGTAGTAGACGATCATCCCCAATCCTCTTCTAGACCTAGCAATTGTTTTACCTGGGTCATCGCTTCTTTGAAATTGGCGAAATCCAAGCGACCCTTGCAGATGTTGTTCCTAACGTACATAGGTTTAATCTTCACGGCTGCTCTTCCCTCCTTAAAATCATTTTCTCCGACTTTTCTTCCTATCGTTATAGCCTCAGACATGCTCTTGTGGTTGTGCACGACTGTTGAGTTTCGGTTAATTTTTAATTCGCGATTTCTTATGCAGGTGCCTTGCGACTTTCAAATCCTCTTTTGTTCCTAGCACTACATTTATGTTTGAATGAGCCTTTAGCGTTCTTGGTTTTTTGGTCCTCAATTTAATTAGTATTCCTACTCTTTAGTATAATTAATATTCTTAGTCGATATTATCAATAACGGCATTTTTTAAAAGCAGACCAAGGAGACGAATAAATCCCTGTTATCCCTTGTTAAGTTCCTAAGATCTTATATTTATAAGATGTTGTTTCTTGAGTTTTGCAGCCTTCAATTCTTCCTACAAAAAAAATCTTCCACCAAAATGACGTAGAAGATGGTCTACAATGGCAATAAACTATGGACAACATCGCCTTTGGTTAGGCGAAGCCCTCAATTTTAAACGATCTGGCTAATTTCATTATGATACCCAGGAATTTGGGTGTAGCTACCAAAGACACCATTAGTCCTCATAGCAAACTCAAACAGGCTCTTATTTCCGTTCATTCTGTTTTGTAAATTTGAATGTGAGGTTTTTCTCACATTTCTCTGAGGTAAATCTTGGCGTAAAAGTCATAATTATGACTTTTAGGAAGGTATAAGCCTCTGTAGACCTTTGCTAAATCGATGCAGAACGCCTCGTTCTTGTATTGCTCGCTGTTCAGACACAGACGAAGAAGATTGTAAAAGTCAGTATTTGTCCGCATTTTTTCAACTGTAAGCCTCATATTCAACGTGGTAGTTGGTCAATGGTTCATTGACAAATTAGTTACAAAAAGTGGGGAGAAATGCATCTATGCTGACTCGCGACATCCACTACCGTGTATTTCTAGGAGTAATTTTCCTTCGATATCATTAAGAGCGTCCAGTGTACGGTATCGTTATCTCCTTAATGGAAGCTTCTGATGGTAGCACGATCGTCTTATCACGCACATTATCACCTTTGTCCTTTCAAAAGATTTCGGCGAGCGCTGAGGTTTTAGCCCTCTCACCGTTCGTCCTACTAAACACTATCGTATGAAAGCTCTTTCGTCTTCAGTGTGTGAGATCCTTTGTTTTCTGTTTAGGATGAGAATATAATATTGCATCAGGAAGGATTTGAGTTCTGTAAAAACGTTCACTACCGATTAATACAAAAGGAAGTTATAAATGTACTTCCAAAGAAATTAAGTAAGTTACGATCGTACTTTTACTGAAATGGTGCCCATCGTTTCCAGGTACACCCATAAGGTACGCATTCTTGCTCCCGTATTTATTTTCGTGATACCGTATATGGCATATCTAACAGCTGAAATTACGTCATTGTCATCAATTATTGCGTGAGTTACTTACAGCATTTCTGAATTTTAATTATTCCTTTAACTAAAGATTAGTGATGACTATAAAAAGCAAAAGCATTGAGTCGCTTGGTGTCGATGATCAGTTTTTTGGAGATTCGCCACTCATTCGGCTCCATTCGTACCATTGATGATGGGATGCATAAATAGTCTATATGTTTCTTGCGAACCCATTCTTGTATCAAACCAGAACTTTCATTCTCGAGATAAGTTTGGTGCTAAGTTGCTGGCAACCCAGAAGTGATGGTGGGCTGGATAGCTGAGGGGATAAGATCGAACCAAGGACTTTGTATAAATTGTAATACACCTATAACTACAGCGATGCATGCTCTAGAAACGAACACATTGTGTTTATTATGACGACGTATAATGTCTTATCTGGCATAGGAGGTTGCCGGTAGCATAGTGGTAGTGAAACTGGTCATCAGGAGTCCGGTGCTGGTTCGACCTCGCATCCTGCTCACCAAACCTCTCATGCCTTTGGGGTCGGGGAATTGGTACCGGAGTTTTCTGGAAGAAGTTTACACTCTGTGGTCAAAGTGGGAATCCTCTAGCCTGGCTATCTTAGGACTCCAAGCAAAATCGACTCGACCAGCATTCAACGAAATTCGTAATGGAAGGAAAAAACCTCAAGCACCAGCCGAAGTCACACGTAACAAGTTCGAATTAAGGACTTTCGCGGTTGATGGTTCTGAGGAAACGAATCGATTGCAAGAAGTGCTAGGCTCCGTACACTAGATGTGAGAGAAAGGTTGCATACTTACTTGGATACTTCGACGGCCCGTACTCACTGGTTGTGCGGGTCCCAGCATGATCTCCATTTTTTCGGCGTTTTGCTGGTTTAGCCAATGTGGTTTCCTGGAGTCCCGAGGAGAACCAGGTCAAAGTCTTCTCCAGTTCGTCATCACCACAGGCACTCGCCGCCCTTGTAGATCAGAGGGGGATTTCTCACCATACGAGTAGTTTCATACTATAACGGTGGCAGATCCTGGTATTTGTTTACTCTTAGCTAGGCTTCCTGTTGGAGGGATAAATCCCACGGCTGTAGATCGCAGGCCGACACCTACGAACACCTCCCAGCTGCGATGAGGCGGTAGACCGTTCAGAATGGCATAACACAAGATGATACCCGTATAAATTTTCACCCTTAAGTTCGTAAAAAATACAAGAGAGATAAATTACGAGCGGAGCACCTACTTTTTATTCATCTCCTAACAGTGTTCAAATAGCAATTCCCAAGACCGACTTTCTGTTAACCTCGGCATTAATTGATAATTCAATGTTTTTCTTCAATAAGCAGACACGAGGTTGATAATATAGAATTTATTAGAATACAATAGCTGACGTTTCGACGGTTTCGCCTTCTTCAGAGCCTGGAAAGGTCAAATTGAGATGTGATCTACTCAGCCAAACACTTTCACAACTCTAGCAGATAAAACTTGACAAATCGATTTGCATTCGCATAAGAAACAGCTCCATTCAAACACCTACCGTTTATTTGTTGTGAGTATTTAAGTTAATTGATGGATAGCCGCCGCACAGAGTAATACATGGGCGATAACTGTCTAACTTAAAACTAACTAACTTAAATACTTACAACAAATAAACGGCTCTGAAGAAGGCAAAACCGCCGAAACGTCAGCTATTGTATTCTAATAAATTCTATATTAACAACCTCATGTCTGCTTATTGAAGAAAAACATTAGGTGTTCAAATATTCGATTCATACGAATTCGAACTGGAATGATTCGAATGATCTTTACAGAATCGCTGTATGCGGGATGGTGATGAAGCAATACGTCAAAGGTAACATCACCGCAGCAGCTGCGAATTCTGTGAAATATTTCATAAAGATGCTGTCACAGTCATCGGAAACAGTAATCTTCATGTGAGATCGTTTTCTCGATATTCTATCGCTCATATTTTTTATTTCATTATATACTTATGGTCACTAATTGATTTCTTTGCTTTTATTGAAATCTACAACTAAGCTCTCAAAGTGGATTACCTAACTCTCCTCATCTTTTCTCTATGGTGTTCCTAGTTATCAATCCACGATGTAAATGTAACAGAGTGTAACAGAAGTTTACCACTCAGACCAACAGACACCGTTACCCAAACCGACGAACTCGAAGTTTTCATTTTGGAGGTCAGCAAAAACTGAAGTAATCCCAGGAGTTGCCTGCGTCTTGCAAAATGAAGCTTGTTCAAATGTGAAAACCATCCACTGCTCCACGAAGAAGACCTGCAGTGCTCTAGCATCGAAGGATTTTTTTAAAAAATCCGGAAGAAATTTTTATCATTTCTTAAGAAGTTAAGTATTGCGTGGCCTTTTTTACAAGAATATTATGCCTTCTTTAAAAATAACACATTTTTCGCAACCTTTCTGAGAAGCCCAATAGCAAATCATCTTCAGATCCGAAAAGGTCGTCAGGTGAAAGACGACTGTGAACGCTGTATTAAAGTGAAAATCTTCTCAAGCCAAAAAAATTCAGGCGTTGCGTTATCCCTCATACAAGGACGGTCCGTTTTTACTAAACCCAGCAAATTTTCAATCATCCGTGTAAGACACAATATGGCTGTCCAAAAGAACATTTATCATTCTAATGAAGCAGTCTTCGATCTACAAAGAAGAGCAACAGTCTTCGCTGACGGTGGGCCTACGAACACACTGGCACGTCTTTTTAAGAATCTCAAGGTGGAAATCTAGCAAAACTTGAACAATTAAAGGACATGTGATATACAGAGATGGTTTTTCTTCATTAAAATCTGAATATTGCGAGCCATAATATAGTTTACATTGTCTTCAATATGTAATATGCGTATTGATTTTTCTGTTGTCACAAGGTTCTTGGGATTGTCAACAATGTCATCAAACCACTACTGGGATACGGCGTTTGTTTGTGCCACAATTGGTTTTTGCCTTATCTATAGAACAATTGGTAAGCATATTTATTTTTTTACTCGAAAATTTTACTACTAACCGTTTCAATCGGTAAAAGTACGTTTCGAATGAAGAACTTTTTTTGTTACACACAAGAATTGTGAGCTCCAGAAACATGATAAGGTTCATAGGAGATCGCAATGTATAGAGTGTAAAACACGCAGAAAAAAACATCAAGCTGGACTTATGAAATAAAATCACAAAAAAAAGTGTCTCGGAGGGTGGCACTGTCGTCGGTATGACTGTCATTATAGTCATAGCGCCGGCTGTAAGCAATTACACGTCAAGCCATGTGGCCACCAAGCAGATTTTAATGTGTGCAGCGTAGATTTCTAAGCTGTATTATGGAAAATTTATGTGTGTAGTGCGGAAATTGATTGAAAATTTAGACAAAACGTAGACATGTTTAATTCCTAGTTTAGAAGGAAAACCACCAGTTTAAAATTTAAAAATCTTTGTCACAGCAGGATTAAGACAGATTTGATACGAAGCATTTTGAAATCAAATATTATCTTCGCTTGAATTCGAGCTCTTAAGTTTCAAGTTTAAAATTGGAATCAAGCTTAGCATGTAAACATAAGGACTTGAATTAGCATTATTTATTGCGCTCAGTCCTCCCAACGGTGTACCGCCTCGTGGCTGGGAGGTGGTCCTGGGTATCGGGCTGTGATGTACAGCGGAGGTATTCGTCCCCCCGCAGGGTCTCCTTAGCTGATAAGGAATCCGGCGTTTCAATCAGGAAGTCCACCTAAGAGTAAGCCAGTACCAGGATCCATCACCGTCCTGGTGTGACACTTGTCGCTTAGTGGCAAATCTCCCTCTGATCCACAAGGGCCTACGGTTACTGCCTGTGGTGGGGAAGACCTGGGATAGGCTTTGGCCAGACTGACCTCGGAATTCTAGAGAAGCACAATGTCTGGACAAGTAAAACTCCGAAGAGACGGAAATTATGCTGGGCCCCGCACAACCAGTGAAGAAGGGCCATCCAAGCATCCAAGTAAGTATCGTGCTCAGTGGGATTTTTTTCCGGTTCAAAGTGAAGTTCTATCTTGAAAATGACCCGTCTACTAATAATTATTGTCCAAAGGTTTATGGGTTAAAGTTTTTCCATGAGGAAGCTTCCAATCCAGGTGATTCATTTTTGTAAATCTTTAAAGTTTTTTCAGTGCAATGCAATTTTTATTTTGTAGGTATTTTGGTGCAATGCTTCTTCCTAAACAAATTTCGTCAAAAGAAATTTACAAAGGTAATCTTCTATGGAAAATTTGACAGCCTTTTTCTAATAACGCTTCCATTTCTAAATGTAACCACTTTTTACTTACTGCCTATTCTTTTTTCATGTCGAGTGTGATGTAAAATATAACTGCAGTGACGCTGTGATATCTGCATTAGTTAAGGCAGCAGGTGTCTGCGGCAGGGATCGAACATGCTATTACCTCTTCCGGGGCTAGACTATTCACTACCGCACCCTGCGTGTCCTTCATTTGGCGTTTCCATCAGTCGTGTTTTATACGCGCTATTCCCGCTGCAGACACCTGCGGTCCAGAGTTTTGTAAATATTTCATCCTCCATTTCCTTTATTTTTTTTCGTAAGAGTCATCATCGGATTTTCATTGTTGCCTTTTATTCCTTATTGCTGTAACAATTATCAAATGGGTCGTTGCGGAGAAAATATGGAACGATTTTTTAAGAAGTTTATTCCATCCAAAAGCATTTTTCCGGTTAAAGAAAATTAATGACGGCTTTACTTCAAAGAGTGAAAGTTTTTCCGCATTACTGTTTTTTTTTCGGCATTCCTTTTTGTTTGAAATGTCCCAAGCCTACTCATTCACTCGTTTTCCTTTTATTGTAAATTATTTCTGTATACCCTAACCCTGGAGTGCGTGTGGCGCAGTGGTCGGAGGCTTCCCGCAACACAGATGTAGAATCGATCCGGGCGCCCATGGCCCGCCAAGCCTTCCATACCTCCGGGGTCGGCAAATTGGTACCAGTCTTATCTGAATGGATGGCAGCACTGGCTCGATACGTGGGTGGGCCACCGCGAGTCATTGTAAAGGCCAGATCTCCATTCATTCACTTCAAACGATGCTTATTGAACTCGAATGCATTGTGCATCTCTCAGGGATTGATCAACGCGCAGAACTTTATCCTTTATTCTTTATACATTGAGCTTTTCATATTTTGTACAGTTACACTTTTTGATCTGAACACTTATCAACCATTTCATTATTGTCCAATGACTTTTTTGAGTTCTTGTACACATTTTTGTTCAAGGTCGATCAGTTGATTCTCTCATATGGTGGTCTTCGCGGAGCGATCGCTTTCGGTCTGGCCATTTCCATTCCAGAAACGATCCTGGCCAGAAAAATGTTCATCACCACAACGATTGTGGTGATTTTCTTCACAGTTTTTCTTCAGGTAAGGAAGTTTTTCTGGTTCCACTTCTAATTCTAATAGAAAGGCAAAAAGATATTGCGTTTGGTGTTGTTCAATCCGTTTGCGTTTCACTATGAATTCGTCTCCACTCGTAAAACTGCTGAAATGATTGCATTCATACTCGGATTATGCTATAGCTTTCTTTGGCCCATCGATATATTAGATCACTGTTTTTATAGCGGTAAGCTAATCTGTTGGGGAGCGTGTGGGGAAGTGGTCGGAGGCGTCCTGCAACACACATAGGATCGATCCCCGCGTCCCTGGCTCGCCAATGCTTCCATCTCTATGAGGTCGACAAATTGGTACCAGTCTTGTCTGAATGGATAGCAGCACTGGCTCGATACATCGGTGGACCACCGCCAGTCATTGTAAAGGCCAGAGGTCCATTCATTCACCTTCAAACCATGCTTATTGAACTCGAATGCATTGTGCATCTCTCAGGGATTGATCAACGCCAAGAGCTTTTTTAGAGCTTCATTGTTATTTTCTTGCGTTTTGTTTTAATGAAAAATCGTCTTCTAAGGCTTAAAGTGGGATTTTTAAAGTTACCTCCCGATTTTCTGCACTGTTTCTTCCTACGTTTTTGTATCATGGTGCCGTATTTACTAAAGTACAAAAGTCGTGTTAAGAAAGCTTATAAAGGAAATAAAAACTGCAAGAGACATTTCAGGGAACCACAATCCGTCCGCTAGTGAACTATTTGAACGTAGAAACGAAGGATGACCGACCAGCAACCATGACTGAAAGTATCTATAATAAGGTAACAGTTATAACAACTGCGATTCTTTGTTTTTATCTTTATATATATGACCCGATATCACGTGTAGTATGGATTTTCGCGGTAGTCCACCAAGGTCTTCGGTTTAATTTTCGGGCTCAGCAACTGCCCAATGATTTGGTCTTCCTCATTAATTTCGTGAAGTGTTGGCCGAGTAACTTCTCTATGAAGTTTTGTTGTTGCCCCACTGGTGTATTTCCAGATTTTAGTCGCAGACAGTTTCCAGCCTTTGTGGACTATAGGGTTCCGGAGAAATCTGGCACACGATCTTGGAGGGGAGACGATTGGTAGAATCGTAAAGCGTTTGCACCATATTGAATATCATCCACTAGATGTAGACATGGTTACATAGTTATAGTAATTTGCATACCTACATGCTATGTTTACCAAGTGGCGAACTGGAAGAAGGTCTCGTGCTTACTCACGTAGTGCGATGTTTTCCTGGTGGCCACCAATAGGACCACTGATTTAGCCTTGACGTCATCTAAAGCCCAACACTACCCTTTCTCTTTCTTTTTCTTTAAAGTTATTTAAAAGTCTAACTTTCTATAAAAGAATGTTTAGCCTTAAGAAAACCGCCATGACCACCAATTTGAGTAAGAGTGAGGAGCGGCAGGAATTTTATTGCTTATCTACTGATCATTTCGTCCTTCTTTGTTTTTTCGTTATAGTGTTCATTAAAAGCACCAGAAAGTTTTTTTTGCAGTATCTTGATTATATGATGTCCGGATTGGAGGATATTGCTGGACAACAAGGTCATTATTCACTGCGTGATAAGTAAGATTCTCTTGACAATGATTCAAAAAGTTCCTTTTTTCAGCTTTTCTCTTTATGTTTGTCGTGGAAAATTGTAAAATTTTCAGTAGAATGTTCTTAGTGCTTGGATATAAATTTCTCCCAAGGGTTCACGCTCTTCTATCAGTTGATCAGGCATATCTTACTATTCTTTCAACAGGAAACATTTTAGCGCCTTCAAGCGGAGACGTTTTCACCGCCTTTCCTGTTTCCCGATAATTGCTTTTCTTTCCTTTTTTCTTTCCCCCAAAACCTCCAATTTTTCCCGCTTTTTAAGAAATTCTGCTATAAATATCCATCAATCTTTGAAATATCCTGTTACCAAGGTGCGACGTTAACCATAGGCAGTACGGCTGACCATCATAGGCTAATGAAAAGCTGAAGCCTTGTACTCCTAGTTTCACGAAACTTGCGGACTCTGTAGAACTAGTTGCTTAATTGAACTGCAGCAGAGTTATTGGCAGAAGAAATGACATCAAGAGAATACGATGGTAATCACGAGCTAAGTTTTACTCGACTTGTGAAAAATGATTTTATTGGAAGCATTGTAATAGCAAAGGTAGTATCTCATCAAAAGAAAGCCCTTAAAGTGTCTATTATGTACCGATAGGGTAAAAATTGGCTGAGGAAAAACCAAAGCGGTACCGCGGTGGTGCAGTGCGTAACGCGTGAGCTCCGGAAAGAGTAACCACAGATTCGAAACCTGCCTATGGTCTGGATTTTGCAAGTACTGTAGCATCATTGTTTTTGTTTATAACGTAACTGAGAATTTCGATGTTTTCAGTTTCGAGCGCTTCAATGCAAAAGTTCTTCGACCGATTCTGATGAGAAACGAGCAGAAAAGGGATTTCGACGCCTCCACAATTGTTCGTGCCTATCAGAAGATTACACTAGAAGAAGCGATGAATCTCACAAAGTTGCAGAAAGCCGAGCACAAGAGAATCTCTGCCCTTCGTGGGTACGCGACCGATTTTTATCATAATCCGCCCCATCGTTAACGCGGTGCTAAGAACATTTTTCAAGCGCATTATCCAGATTAGGTGGACAGTGGACGTAGCTGTTCGAAAATGCTTTAGTCTTTTTATTTCGCGGTTTTTTTAAAGTTACACGACTACATATTACATTGAGTGCACTTTGGTCACTTCTCTTTGGTCACTTTTCATTTTACCAGGAATCATGAGACCCTAAGCAGCGACTTTTGAGCTTCTGTAGACTAATATGCATATTTATGAATGATTTTAAGGATTTTCAAAATCACAGACGCTATCCCGTTTACATATGACACGACTCAATTTAAACTTAAACCAAATTTTTATAAACCGCTTGTTCTGAATCGACGATTGGTGGTCTCGAGGGTGTTAAAAAAAGTTATGACCACGGTTAGAAACCTCTTTCTTTACAAACTTAACTGGGGGGAGGGGACTTAGTTGTGAAGAAAGAAGGGTGGATATTATTGCTGTTCATGTACGGAGCCCTTTTGCTAATTTATTGACCCGGCGGCTATGGTGGTCGTTGTTGGTCTTCGACACGATGTCGCGAAAGTAACGTGTGTCCAGTAATTACTTTTCATTGCACAATGCCGTACGAATAGAACAGGAAAGAAAGTGTAAACGAGTAAGAGTTGGGTGGGTGAGTCCTACTCGCATCAGCACAGCTCTAAGGAAGGTGAAATCGCCAAAACGTCGGCCGTCGACCAACAACACCAAAAGTGCAAAAGATTTTTGTTTAGAGAAGACTCACGATTCGTTGATGGTACGTATTTGAACAAAGCGTTCGAGAAAAACTTTCCAAAGGACAACGACACGACAGTGACACCACGGACTAAACAACTCGATAAGGTGCATTTTTACGACAAAAAGTTAATTAAGCAGTTTTTCTTAGTAGAAACTATGTTTTTGCATACCAAATTCTCAAAGGAAAAAGGTGTGCATGAAAACAGAAGTAGACAGAACCGAGATTTATTGCTGCTTATTATAGACAGGCTCAAGATTGCCCTGCTCTGAGCATGTGAGGGATAGCGTCCATTTTTTATGAGAAAACAATATTCTGACGTCATTTTTAGTTTCTGGCCACTGGTGAAAATGTGGACAGCATTTACGAATTGTTCAGCGAGTTATTGGACCGAAAACTAAGAGAATTTAACACGACAAGAGAAAAAGCGACGGTCCAAGACGAAGACGAAGACATTCATGACGACTACATGCAAGAAATGGTTCTCTTACGTTCCTCCTTTGTTCTTTTTTCTTCTCTCTTCCTTCAAATATGACTACACCTTTAAAGCAACTGAAGTGTAATTTTACTATTTTTGCATTTAAAAATCTCTTTAAGCACGTGTCTTCAAGTTTACATGGAGATATTTTATCCCTTAAGAATACAAAAAGACCACTCTAGTCTCATTTTTCCTTAGACATGGCATGAGAAAGCATTTTGTTCTGTTAAGAATTTTTCAGTTTTCAGCCCCTAAGCAGGTTCCTATTTTGATGAGCTCACTTAAGCACTGGAATCATTCAAAAACCACTTTTTTTTGTTACATACAGGTTATAAATGAAGCTCATGGCAATTGTGAAAACGAGAAATTTCACTAAAACAATAGGTTTTCTTTATTGAAGCTTTCCCGTATAGACTAAGAATTACAATTAATAAATTGCTAATTGCTGTTATTAATAGCTTATTGAGAGGGGCGGATAGCACAGTGGTTCGGTCATCGCAAGCACTGTGTTAGTTCGATTCTGCTCCAGATCAACCAAACCTCTCATCCCTCCGGAGTTCACCACATTGGTACCGGATTTGTACAGGAAAAAATCATTCGCTGTAATACAATTGGGAACGCGTCAGGACGGCTAGTTCAGCACTCCAGGGAGAATCGAATCGAATCGATCGAAGCATTACGACATCCAAGATGAAATGAAAATCCTCAAGCAGTAGCCGAAGCCACACGTTAAAGTTGGAAGATCTTCGTGGATAATGGATGCGGGAAAACGAATCGAATGTGAAAAGTGGTGGAATCTGCACAGTAGACGTGAAAACAGGTCATATAAAAATAAAAATAAAAAAAATTACTTATTGGGACTAGGGTAGCACAGGCGTAGTGAAACCGATCAACACGAGTGCAGTGCCGGCTCGACCCCACTATGAGTTCACCAAGTCTCTCATCCTTGCGAGATCAGAAAATTGGTAACAGACTTATCTGGAAACGTCCGCTCCTTGCAATCCTAGTAGGAACGTTCTAGTTCGGCTATTCTAGGACTCAAGAAGGAATCCACTCCACCAGCATTCAACGACATTTATGAAGAAGACGACAGCCATCAAGCCACAGCCACATGCAGAAAGTTAAACGACATTCATGGATGTTGGATGCGAGGAAACGAATTGAATGCTAGAAATTCTCGGATGCGTACAGTAGATGGACGATTTGTATAAAATCGAAGTAAAAAAAGCGAAACAAAAAAGTAATTGCTTGTTATCTTTATGGCGCAATGACGGCAACAATAACAACAGTAATAGTAATAACAGTAAAAATAATAAAGCGCTCGGTGTTGGTCAACTCCTAAAGGATACGCCATACATTCGACTTCATCAAACATCGTTAGAGGTGACTGAATGCATATTTGAATTATACAGTGACTCGCTGTGGCCTACGGATGTCTATCGAGTCAGTGCTGCAATGCTTCCAAACAGGTCTCGTACTAATTTTCCGACCCCGGAGGTATGGAACGCTTGGTCAGCCTGAGGCGCTGGATCGAACCATGTGCGTTGTAGGACACCTCTAACCATAGCACGCGCTGCATTAAATAATAATAATAAAAGTAATAATAATAATAGTAGTCATAATAGTACAATGACAACTTCATGTGTGCTTTTCAAGGAAACAGCGAATTGTATACCTATTTTCTCTTTACACGTTATTTAGCGTACTGGTTTTCGTCCACGTTGCGGCCACATTTTGATGTCTTCCGATTTATGGGACCGTTATAATTCAATTTTTTTCAGGGTTCACACACAAATATTCGGCAACCGTTAAACAATGATATATTAGAGCTGAACGATCCCTACCGTAGGGGTGGACGAAGACAAAGCACTGGTCAAATGAAGGAGAAAAAAAATACAGACATCCATAACGTCTAACGAATAGACACCAAATTTGAGGTGTCGGTTGTCTGTTTTTTTATTAACAAAAAAGTTATAGATGGAACCGAAATTGAGATTGCTCTTGTATTTGTTGTAAGCAGTCCTGTTTTGCTCCACTCGGGTCCTCTATAAGCCATTGCTCATCAGTCTGAGAAGAAAAATATTCATGAAGATCTTACTAACCGTTGATTCTGCAACGATGAGTGAAGCTTCTTTTCTAGAAGTCTGGTTAAGTTTTTAAAGGACTGGCATGCTTCTAGGTACTGTAGTAGTTTACCGTAGCTGTGAAATATTTAGAATTTCATCGTTTTGAAGTAACTTAAGGTGAAGAAAAGAAGACAAGTCTGTTTCATTTTTTCGTTTTTGATAAGACTATTTGTCTATTGAAGTTCTTCGTTTAGAAGAGTTTTCCTGGCCAAACTTCATTGACTGACCAATTTGTGAAGTTGTTTTTCTTCTCATTAATAACCAAATTTCTTCGATTTGCTGTTATGAATATTTTTTGTAGTAAATCCTGTTCTAACTGAATTCGGACTAAAATCGTTTTATTGGAATTCTTTTTACTATGCCATTATTCCATCCAGTGATCATTACCATCTGCTATCACTATCGAGCAGCACAAGTGTGATCCATGTTCATGAAGTCCGTATATTGGAGCGGTTGTCGCCTTTAGATTCTGACGAAACCCTTAACTTTTGTTGAAGCGAAAGACGGTTGTGTAAGGATTTATTTATTTGTAATTGCTTTTAAAGAATTGTTGATTGTGACGTATCTGACGAAATTAAAAGCTGAGTTTGTTGATCGGATTGAAACCGCTCAAAGTCGTTAGGATAGAAGGCATCAAACTTCGAAAAATCTCATTATTTTTTCACAATTTGTGGGGTTATGTAGTTTTACACATGTCAAGATAGCGAGAAAAAACCAGTGAACAACGAAAATTCGAAGAGTATTGTGTCGCAGGTGACGAGAACTTCTAGTCAGTTAAGTCGCTCCAACTCTGAGCTAACCTCCCTGCTTCCCTCTGAAAACGTCAACACGGTATTAGACATGTCTAGATAGAGCTTCCTCAGAACCGTATGGATTGTTAAGGGGGTATGTTGAAGGCGTTGAAACGCCTCACTAGAGTTACGCTTGAATTCCAAGTAGAATGAAGTTAACCAGGATTTGACGACATCTTCGAAGAAGACAGAGTCTTCAAGAAGCAACTGAACGCACAGAGAAATCTGCAAAACACTATGGATGATGGACATGAGACTACGAATCGAAAGCAAAAAGTGCTGCCGTATGCACAGCACAGTAAGTGAATTCGACTCACACAAGTAATTTGGCCAACCTGAGAACCAATGCTTCATAGGAAATGCCAGCATGATTATGTTATACTCATCAAAATGTCTTTTTCTCCATTTGCTTGTAGGTTTAACAATCTTAGGTTGATAACCATGGTCTCTCTCAGTGCTTTGGTGACTAATCCAGGTCCAGGTATCTTACATGTAGGGGTGGTGCATTATAAAGCCGGACATTCATTCTTCTTGAAAGATCATCCAGTTCAAAGTTGCAAAACAGCTTAAAACTTCCACAGACATAGACCTATGTTGCGACAGAGCTCTAAACCTTATTATAATCTTCTCCTTAGTATGCTTCTTAAGAGCGGAGTCTAGTAACAACTTTGAAACTTTGATTGGTTAGGTAGAAAGGTAGAGTTTAGTGGTGCTGCCTTGAGTTAAGTATATAAGATAGTAAAGCGTAAAGGATCCAGCGCTGATCACTCTCTCAAGGATGCCGTATCAGTCTATTCACCAAACATCAGAATAGTTCTGGAGAATCTACACGCAACACATTCATATGGAATGTAATCCATCAATTCTACCAGTCTTCACAATGATGGTGTACGATTTCGTAAAAGAGTCATTGATGAGTTTTCCACACGAATCTGGTTGAAATGTTATTCAAGAACTCCCACGACCGACTTTCTATTAACCTCGGCATTGATCAAGTAATTCTTCGTATTTTTGTTGAGCAAACGATAGGTGTTATTATTCTTTATTCACAAATGAGCTGACGTTTCGGCGGATTTCGCCTTCCTCAGAGCCTGCCCACTATTCTCCTCCAGAGGCGGTCCTCCAAATACTGAGCACAAAAGTTTTCCTTCGTCTCGCACTTCTTCCACTTGGCGAACATCTGGTTTTGTCGGCTTCGTAGACAGGTGCGTAGTATTCGCAATTCGATGTCCAATACTCGGTGACTGTCCTCTGGTAGTCCGCATACGTCGTGTAGTCGCCTTCGTTTGATGAAGTTCGGAACGACTCGATGTTTCAGACAGCGGCGGAGAAAGTGTATTGACTGTCGAGCTAAGACGATCTTTTGTCTCAGTGACAGCGCTTCTTTTACAAGTCGGAAGTATCTTGCTGGTACATCTTTCAGTAACTCCCACGACCGACTTTCTATTAACCTCGGCATTGATCAAGTAATTCTTCGTATTTTTGTTGAAATCCGCCGAAAAGTCAGCTCATTTGTGAATAAAGAATAATAACACCTCGCGTTTGCTCAACAAAAATACGAAGAATTACTTGTTATTCAAGAGTTGAGTAATCAACTTCATGGCCATATTGAAAGGCGATGGTAAAGAATTAACCTTTTAATAATCTAGAAAATGAGATTAGTGGTGAGGATACATCGATGCACCACTGATACTGACTCGATCCACGTAAATCCACATCGCAAGAATAAACGGCTGTGAAAAATCGAATCAATTCATTTGGCCTCTAAACAAGGTGTATGAGCTAGAATAATTCCTACAACATCCTTCCACTATTCCCCAAGACCCCAACATTTCATTAACCTCGGCTATGATCAACAATTCACTAATTTCTTGATGAGCACATACTATGTTGTTATTATACTTTTCATTCACGATAGCTGACATTTCGGAGGACTTCGCCTTCTTCCGCCTGGAAAGGTCAAGTTGACTGCAATCTGGTCAGCCTCTCCGGAGAATTAGCCAACCGTGCGAACTACACTTGGTTTGTTCCCCGTTCAAATACCTGGTCGGGTACTTAAGGATGACTGTGGGTGTGCTAAGAAGGGGTTTTGTTTACAGTGCGTTTGAAATCTAAGTTTCATCGTTTTCTTGCTTCGGTTATGGAAGTATTTGGCTCACCAGGTTGGGTTGCACTCAACTTGACCTTCCTAGGCTCTGAAGGTGACGAAATCTGCCGAAATATCGGCTTTGCTCAGGAAAAAGGATAATTCGTATATAATGCTGAGATATTTGCAAAACTCCGGACCGCAGGTGTATGCGGTGGGGAACGAACGCGCTATTGTCCATACTGGCGAGTAGCGAGCGCACTTCACCACTACACCATCCGGCTACTTCGTTTTGCTTGTCTCTCAGCTAGCTCTATTGATCTTTTGCCATCAGCAATCACCCATCAACGGTATTGATCTGGGGAGCCCAAATCGGCATTGAACCCAGTTAAGTTGAGGCTTAGTTATAATCACAATCTTAACCCTTTTATTTACTGCCTTTTTCTTTTTAATGGCAGGGTTTGTTGCGAAATATAACTCGTATATAATGCTGAGATATTTGTAAAACCCCGGACCGCAGGTGCATGCGGTGGGGAACGAACGCGCTATTGCCATTAAAAAGTCGCCATTAAAAAGAAAAAGGCAGTAAATTTAAGGGTTAAGATTGTGATTATAACTAAGCCTCAGCTTAAGTGGGTTCAATGCCGATTTGGGCTCCCCAGATCAATCCCGTTAATGGGTGATTGCTGATGGCAAAAGATCAATAGAGCTAGCTGAGAGACAAGCAAAACGAAGTAGCCGGATGGTGTGGTGGTGAAGTGCGCTACTCCACGGTAAGGACAACAGCTCGCGTTCGTTCCCCACCGCATACACCTTCGGTCCGGAGTTTTGCAAATATCTCAGCATTATATACGAGTTATATTTCGCAACATACCTTGCCATTAAAAAGAAAAAGGCACTATATAAAAGGGTTAAAAAGGATA